TTAATTAAGTAGAAAAATTAATTAATTAATTAATTAAATAATTAATTGGTTCCGGATTAGTGCGAGCGTGCAGGTGGGGGAGGACTGTGGTTGCCCCTTAGCCTGTGGCTGCGTGTTTGTAAGTCTACAGCCAGCGCACCTAGCGGAAGTGAACTGAAACTTGCATGTTAACAAACCCCCAAACCAACACTCAAACACACAGCGCACCTAGCGGAAGTGAACTGAAACGTGCATGGTAACACACACACACACACTTATCGAGAGAGATTATTTCGTCTAAGTAGTACCAAGAAGGATATGCTAATAGACTGACGATGTTTGATAGATATATAGTAGTATAGTATATAATAGTAGTGAATATCATAAAGGTATATACATATAATTACCTCCGCCAGGGGCGTGGCGGAGATTATGTTTTTACCGGCGTGCCATTGAGTGTTGGTTTGTTCACATATATATATATATATATATATATATATATATATGTCTGTAGTAGGGTACATTCACGCGCAGGCACACACATATGTACGTAGCGGCAGAGAAATCTATACAGTTTCCCCAAAACCATCAGCCTATGCCACAATAATTATCCATTTACGTCTTGCATGATTATGCGGAATTTATATTGTGTAAAGACGGTTTCAATGTACTAAGAGTGTGTGTGTGTGTGTTGTTGTGTGTGTGTGTGTGTGTGTGTGTGTGTGTGTGTGTGTGTGTGTGTGTGTGTGTGTGTGCGTGTGTGTGCGTGCGTGCGGACGTGTGTGCGTGTGTGCGCGTGTGCTGCGATAGCCGGCCACCTGTGATAGCCGGTCACCTATGATAGGCGGCAACCTGTGATAAGCGGTCACCTGTGATAGGCGGTCACCTGCGATAAGCGGTCACCAAGCTTTCGGTAGCGATAAGACGTTCGTCTGCGCGCGTCTATGTTTCAGCTGCTTGCCGACAATCTCCGCTAGGAGGAGCAGCAGGCCGGCGGCGACGCCCGCGAACAGCATCACGAAGACCGGCAGCATCTGTCGCAAGCTGATCTGCCTGGCAGCGACCGACGCCGCGTCCGTCTCTGAGCACGCGTCGATTCGGTTGTCAAGGACCTGCGCTCCCCACTTCTGCAGGAGACCCGTCTCTATGATCGTGCGTATTCTGACACGCGAACAGAAAACACAACTGATCAGGGGGCGTGTGTATGCGCTATACGTGGTATGACCCACTGAGTCATTAGTGCTCAGCCGATGACAGTTGAAGCTACTTAGCAAATGCACATAGTGAGAAATGAACGATCATTTTCGATTCATCGTTGTCTGATCAAAGCTCTTCTAACTAATGTTTCGACACGAGAAAGACGACCAACGATTTTTTTTAGAAAGCAACAAAGTGTGTTCGTTGTTGTTACGCTTCACGTGCGCGCCCTAAGGAACACGCCGTCCACACAGTAGAAACTAAACCAAGATTCCCTCTAGTGAAGTCCAAGTTTCGAACGAGGACCTACGAACGACAGTTTGCAATTGGGTTTGCAACTCGGGCACTCCCTGAGGTATATTTGTAAAGCTACTCACTGCCTGTTTAGGAGAGGGAAAATCGTGTTGTTTTTCTGCACAGTCCAAGCCATTGGCTCTAGTGAGGTTTCAAATGGAGCCCGTGCAAACCTATAGGGGAAAATAATACAGGCCATTATAAAGGAATAGCATCACTTATAGACGCGCGCACGCACGCACACACACACAAGCACACACGCACACACACATACACACACACACATACGCGCGCACACACACACACACACATACACACACGCACACACACACACACACACACACAAATTTTCGTATAAAAGAAGAGAGAGAGAGAGAGAGAGAGACGCAGGCACGCACACACGCGCTCACGCGCCAGTGTTACGTATATGTGCTAGCCACCCTGGCATGCGGTGGCCGGGACCATGTGTCCATGGTAATGGGAGGATGCTGTTAGCGGGAGGATGCTAAGGGCGACCTTGAGGGGTTCAGTGGCGGAAAAGAAGCCACGAACGCAAAGAAGCCCCGAAGAGACCAGGCAGAGAGTAAGAAGCTAGCTTAAATAACAACGCCGAGAATCGTCAACACTATCATTCACCTTGCTCTCTCTCTCTCTCTCTCTCTCTCTCTCTCTCTCTCTCTCTCTCTCTCTCTCTCTCTCTC